CAGGCGGGAGAGGCCCTGCCTCTTAAAGGAACAGGCAGCTCAACATGCTCCGGGGAACAAAAAGGACCCCAGCTGGGAATGCTGGTTCTTCCTGGCCAAGAGGAGCCGGGACACAGCAGACCGGATTTCATATCGCCAAGGCCCCATAAGCAACTTTCTGTATGAACATTTATTTGGGTTTTGCCAATATTGCAAATGGGAGGATTGCAGGGTCCATTAGCAAAGGACACAGGTGAGGTTAAACAGCAGCTCTCAGGGGAAGAGGCTCAGCGGGAGAAGCCAACCCCAAAGGGGCCCTTCTGCCTTCCCTGCAGTGCTTGCTGCCCTTTGATGCAGCCCAGGCCAGCGAACGCACGAAGTGGCAGTCAAACCAATCCGGATCAGCCCGGCTAGGGATGTGTCCTGCCGAAAAGGACGTTGCCTGGGCTGACCAGGCCCCTTGACTCCCCTCTCAGGTGCCAGCTTGCCCTTCCAGGGACAGATCCCAGCCCTGCCTCAACTGCCAGCTCTGCGTCCGAATCGGAGGCGACACCTGATGCGGCTGCATTGTGGAAGCGGCCCTGGTCCTGAGGAGGGCCCCGCAGGAGGCTGGATGAGGGACACACCTGCCGGGCTCAGCGTGACGGAGCCTCGTGCAGGTAAGCCTTGCTCTGCCACTGGAAATGGGCCATGGGGGGGATTCAGCAGAGTCTTGCCAGTCCAGGACCAGTGGGGGGGGGGGGCAGGGGGCATCCAGGAGGGAGCCCTGGACCCCGCTGAGCTCAGTGGCCCGTGCCTGGGGCTGCAGCACACGCGGGTCCCTCAGTCCTGCACATGGCAGGCTCCTCCCACACCGGGGAGACAGCCAAGGGCCGCTGTGGGCAGTGCAGGAGGGGTGCGCTGGGGCATCAGGCCGGACCAGTCGCATCTTCGGGTGGGGCTGCCTTTGTCCCGTGGCCCCAAACAAGCCTCGGGCTGGAGGACCGATTCAGAGTCCCCAAACCCTCGCAGTGAGATGCCCGTTCCCGAAACCTGCGTTATTTCCTGCAAGTATACCCCTGCCTTCTCCATTCTCCTGTTATATCATTTCCCCATTTGGAACATGCAGCTTGTCTGCCTGGATTGGGGCACAGAGTTGGTTCTTCGTGTGATTGTCCGGAAAAACCCCAACAAGCTAAAGAAGATGAGGGATGAGCGAATAAAAAGCACGTGACACGCAGAGTTAGTCAACAATCCACACGCGTTTATTTCTCGGGCTCCTCGGGCTCCTTCAGGTGTCGGCATACAGCACACACGGCACCCGCAGTGCGGGTGGGCGCCGCTCCCGCCGCCCCGGGGCGTCCCTCTCCAGGGTGCTGAGCGCGCCGCCGGATGCGCGCCTATGGAGGGAGACGAGGAGGCGTCGGGGCCGCGGCGGGGACGGGTCTGCGGGCGCCGCGCAGGCCGGCTGGCGAGACCCCGTCCTCTCCCGGGCTCGCCCGGAGACCCCCGCCCGGGCCAGGGCCAGGGGCCGCTCCGCCCTGAGGTTAAACGGGGATGGGCGACGCCGCAGACTG